GAATCCAACACGATCTCAATCTCCTCGTTGTTGTAGTCTTCATCCACGCGCGTCATGGTCCTGAGGTAGTAGGTGCTATCAGGTGTGTATGGGGCGCAAAGCCAATCACCATCGCCATCGGTGTAGCTCATGTCGAAGTGATCCACTTCCTGAATCATCATCACTCTGTATGTTGTTGAAGACGAAGAAGACGCTGAAGCGACGTTGTTGTAGACGGTGAGGTCCTCATAGCTATCATCGTCGTAGGAGATCAAGCAGACTCGTTGCTGTTGTTGTTGCTGACCACCAGTTGCACTTGAACTGTCAGTCTTCTGGGCGAGGGACAATTCTTCAACTTGTCGAACTTGTCCATTGGCCTGGTCAGCTTTGAGCTTCCTGCAATCTCGTTTCATATGGCCCTGCTTGCCACAGTAAAAGCAGGCTTCATCTTTCTTGGAACCGTTGGGGTTATTGTTGAGGGAATACCCTTTGCCTCTCCCAGCGGCATAGCCCTTGCCCTTGCCATCTTTGCCAGATGCTCCTTTGCCTTTACTCTTGCCCTTGTCCTTGCCCTTGGACTTGGACTTGCCTTTATCCTTACCTTTGCCATCCTTGCCCTTGCCCTTGATCTGGTTGATGTCCATGGGGGCAAGTCCACCACCATCGTTGGCGTAGGATGTCACTGCTCCTAGGTCACTGTAGACCTTCTCTTTGCTCCAGCTTGTCGTGACATTCTCGTAAGTGAGAACGCGTGCACGAACACTTGAGAACGTGGCACGCTCGTCCATGGTGAGCTGGATGTGTTGTTGAATGTGCTTAGGCAGTACCCGAACCAAAGTTGACAACAAAATGCCATCATTCACATCGGACCCTGAGCACTTGCGGTACTCGTCAGCAATCCTGTCCATCCCTTGGATCTGCTCCAAGAGGGTCTTGTTGCGATCAAAGGTCGGGTAGCTCATCAGCGCGTTCAGCAAGGACAGATTCCTGGCCTTGGTCTTTGGGGTGTAGAGGCTATGCAGCTGCCTCCATACCTCCAAACCATTATTGTCTTTCACTTGCTTGAGGACTTTGAGCGGTCGAAATTTCAAGATCCCGCTCAAAATGGCGTACAGCCGCCTTGATCTCTCCTGTGAAGCTTTTCCTGCCGCAGTGTCCACAAAAACCACGACTGTGTTGAGGTTTTCCTCGACGTGCTTGATGTCGGGGCCAAACTCTGGCTCTGCAAAGCATAGCCACTGTGTGAAGGCTAAACTGAAATCCATCCACTTGGTCCTCTGCAGAAACAGCATTGCCGAAGGTCTCCGGGAACTTTACCACCTTCGTTGCACCCTTGAACCGCCCTGTGCGATCTTCAGCTGCCTTGGCCACAATTTCTTGGCTCGCTCGAGCTGCATCACGTGCAGCGTTGGCAGCTTCGGTGGCAGCACGTACCACTTCACGCAAAGCTTCCATCTGTTCGGCTTGTCGTAGGTCTAGACGTCGTCGTATAGAGGACGTAGTAGAGCTCGAGGCCGTTGAAGAACTCCTCGAAGTGCGTATTGGGCTCACCAAAGGTCTCGTCGAAGAGGTAGGACTCGTCGAAGAGCTCGCCAATCCCGTCAGCAGCGTCAACAGCGCTGCCGGAAGGAGCCGCAAGCCAAGCCGCCACGCCCCGCGCAGCGCTAGCTCGCCCAGCAGCCAGCAGCAAAAGCTCCAGCCGCTCGCCAAGTCGACGCCCAGCGCCGAAGTGTCACCGCAGCCGCCTATGGCAGCGGTCGGGGCCCGTGTGGCCTCTGTAGCTGGAGCCCTTCGAGTAGCTTGCCCACTCTCAGGGCTCCGCTACCATGAAACTTTTCTCAGAGCCGAACGCCTACGCGACGATCTTATGAGAGTCATCTCTCAAGTGAAACATGTTTCCAACTGCCATGCTTGTCATGACATATAGCGGAGAATTTCTTCACCTTTGCATCTATCTACACCTGCAAAAGAATCTTGAAAGAATCAGCTGGAAGAAGCTGCAGCGAGCAGACTCTTTGTTGCGTCAAAAACACGCGGTTAGAACAAAAGCTATGGCTGACTGACTCTACATATTTTAAATATATATATATATATATATGGGTGTGCATTTTTTTACCGTAGTCGGGCCGGGAAGTTTGAATAGGTGGTATGATTCGAGGGTATGATTCAGGGTATGATTCGGGGGTATGATTCGAGGGTATGATTCGCAGATGATTCCCAGCTTTGAAGTTGCATTGTTGGATTAGCTGGACTTCCGGCAGTGGGCCCACTCTGCGCCGAGGCAGTAGGCAAGCAGCATCTGTTGGATGCTGGGTAGACTAGGCAAATGCACTCTTCCACCAAAGGCTGCAGTGGCCCTGTGGAGGCCCCACCAAAACAACCAGGATGTGGGATGGGTGGGAGACTGTGTGGAGGTGCGTGATTCGGGTATGAATCGGGCATGAATCGGGTGTGATTCGTATGGCCATTAGATTCTGCAAAAGAAGGCGGTCCTTTGGCTCTTCTTCCCAAGGCAAAGCCCATGGGAACATTATGAGTACCCCTGAAACGTGAGCCTTTGCTCTTCCCACAAGAAGACACAAACAATTTTTGCCAAATTGAGTGCCCATGGATCACACAATTGCAAACGTCATGCACCATTGGCTCATGGACATCTACAAGGCACAAAGGCCAACAAAAACTTCACCTGAACGCCTGGTTCTTACGTGTAACGTTTTGAGGGGTATGATTCGGGGGTATGATTCGAGGCATGATTCGAGGGTATGAATCGCTCAAGTCGAACTTCCAACCGCTACAAACAGGAAGCTGGTGTTGGAGCAGAATTTCGTTGGCATATGTTTTCCTACATGTCTATCCATGGTGCAGTGCTACCACTCAAGCCGAGGATGCCTATAGCTTCTTCGTGCGCTGTTCTACCATAATGAAAAAACAAGCTTTTCTTTAAGTTTGTGGGATTGCTATGGGCTACGGGGTTCCTCTGAACCTTCGCCAGACTTTCGCGAAACTTTCGCGAAATAATCCCTGTGCTTTGGAGGTTTCTACGGCATGCATAGCATAGGGTGGACTACATGAAACAGGAAGGAAGCTTCACACGGATTCCAAATTTGAAGCTGCTGACGGTCAGGAAAGGATGGGCTACTTCTCAATCCAAAAAAAGGAACTGGAAGCCACAACTGCAAACATACAATAAAAAATCATACTTTCGCGAATCTTCCGCGAAAAAATAAACATTCGCGAACTCGAAAAAAATCTTTCGCGAGACCCACGATCATGTCATCCAAGGCTCTCGACATTTAAAACCCTTACAAGGACCTTTTGGATAACTCCCACATCAGGAAGTACACGCCAAAAACATACAAACCCATATAGTCTTATACAGTAATACGGTGTTCAAACTTTTCCATCACTGGTGAAACTCTTCCGAGTGCTTTGCACCCGGAAGTTTGAAGTAGACCTCGAAGACATCGCAAGAACAGTCCAGGAGTCCATGACCAAACAAAAACACGCCTCCTTTTTTGAATGGGTGGACTCCCCGATCATTTCTGTATGCAAATGAAATCTTGGTCTGCAGCTCTGAAGAACTGCTTTGGACCCCACAGCGACGGCCAGCGACTGCTTTCGGCAGCTTCATGTTCGACCGCCTCGATCGTCGGACGAACCGGTGCTCGATCGTCGGACCGAGAGGCCGGAACCCTGTAGGGTTCTAGACAGCATGCAAACTTGGAGGGTGAGATGGGAGCATGTGGAGCCAAACAGGAAGCTACTAGTAACAAGTGCATCGCTACTAGTAACAAGTGCCTTACTAGTAGTAACAAGAAGCTAGTAGTAACAAGTGCCAAACTCAAATCCTACAACAAATCCTACAGACATTCCCACATCGACACTAACAAGTTGTTGTTCCTTTCCAAATGTGGCAGAATGTGGCCACGGTTGGCTCACAATCCACGCTGGCAGTGGATGTCCACTGCTCACTCTGCCACCCTCTTGCGGAAGTCTCGAAGCTCCTCGATCGAGAAACTGCTTGGATTTGGTTTTCCACATTGTCTTCTATTGAAGGCTCTGCTCTTCGGCGTCTCCTTGATAAGAGGGATGACATTCTTTCCCTCCGCGGAGTAGTCCCGGATGACTTTCTGAGCGGAAAACCGGATGAATGGCGCCCTTCTGATGCTCCATTTCGGGACTCAATCCGTGGCCAACGAATCGGCTACGGATCTGAAGATGATTTGAAGCTGGGTATTGGCAAGCCCAAATCATAGTTTTTATATGCTTTTATCCCTTTGTATTACCACTCAAAGCTCATACTCAGTCATTTGCTCAGTGATTGATGAGTATACCTTGCCCGCCCTACAAGGAGCAAACGAACTAAGTTGCAGAGACTGATGTTGGGCAAACAAAACACAAGTCCCAGAGTCCCATACCAAACACATTCGCAGATGAGGCGGCGAAAGCGGAAAAAAGAGACAGCTCGAAAAGAGATGAACACGATTCGCCTCAGCGTAAGCGTGAAACTCCAAGGTGTCTGCCTGCGGTGGTCAGGTGTCATGAACGGATCACTGAATCGACTTGCTTGGCCAAGCAAGGTGGATTCAGGTGCCCTACTGGACAGAGCAGAAAAGCCGGAACGTCAAAGAAAGAAAGCATCTCTCTCTCACATAGGTTGGGAGATCAGGCGAGATCCTGATTTGAAATGAGTTCACCAAGCTCTGAAGAGACTGCGCGCCTCAATCACTTTCTTAGCATGCGAGGCCACTGTCTTGTCACCATCTTTGTCCTTTTTCAAACACAAAGTTGCGGTGACTGGAGATGACGTGCAAAGCTCAAGCAAATCGACATATCTCTAAAGGCTCTGATCACCCAAGTTGCTGTCCTCATTCTTCTTTCTTCTGTGGAGCTCAACCTTGGCGGGCTGACATTCACAGCAGTCGTGATTGCAGAGTGATGCCCGTCTGGGAGTCATACCTGCTTCATGTGCTCCTCACAAGGATCAAGAATGCAATGAGTCAAAGGAATACATTTGTGTCCTAGCAAATGCCAGCACCATTGTTGTTTGATTGATGTGTCAGAAACTGTGCCGCACTGATTCTGACGGTTCCCTGCGCCATTCGATTCAGTTCTGAATGGTCCTCTGCGAGCTTCTTTGCTGCCTCATCTTTAAGGCGATTTTCTTCCTGCTCCTTCAGCGGCCAGGCCCCTGGTGCCCAGGGTTTTTCAAGCAAAGGAGATGTCTTCAGTGTTGGCAACAGCCAAGGAGCACAGATGGCCGCAGTGACTCAGCGCATTCTGAAAATTCCCGTCAAGTTGAAACGTCAGTTGCAGGCGTCTGATCAATCTAGGGATTGGTTGTGCACCAAAATTACTTTGTTGTTCATCACCTTGGCATGGTCACCGTCACGTCATTGTCCGCCGAAGTCTGCAATCAAAATTCATGCGTCGGCCCCTGAGACTCAAAAGCGGCAAGTCCTGCTTATCCAAGACTTTGCACCACTCCGCCAGGAACTTGGCTGTCTCTGCATCTTCGGCCTTCTCCTTGAAATTGCTCACTGACCCGTCAACAAGAAACCGGGTCACCCCGGGATTCCTGTGACTGTGGGATCCCTGTTAGTGGAAAAAACCTCCGTCGATGAGCAACACAAACATGGGAGCCTACTATCTTGAAGGCCGATCGCTCCAAACAGAATTTGAACTCGACCCGGTTTAGTGCAAAGCTTGGTTTTCGTAGCATGAGAGGATAGATCAAGGAGGAAATTGATACATAGGTGATCATCGGTATTCATGTGTATATAGATAGGTTTAAAGTGACTTAAATAATCTTAAATAGCTTTATGAGAGAATAAGGACATCCCCCCGCTTGAGGAAAATTTGTGCCGGTTTTGCTACATTTCAAGCAGCGTCAAGAACCATCAGATCGGCCATCCAATTGATTGTGTTTTGCACAGCAAACTCAGACCCTCACTTTGGCACGAGCATTCTGCTTGCGCTGTATCTGAGCCTCAGCCCAATAGGAGTCTCTCTCCGTTGAGTGACCTGGGGTTCTGATTTCTTCGGTGATGGTCGGCTCACGTCGGCTCATGTCGGCTCTGTGGGTCCAACCTGACGACTCTTCTGAATATCCTCCTCCCACCTGAGGAAGTGTGAATCCGCTTTCGAAAACCGATCACAGAATCCGAGTCTCGTGTCATACGACATCGTAGAAACATCACAGAATCCAACCCGAATCCTTGTTGAACTTGTTGAAAAACTCATACGGCCATCATCAAGGGCCCATGGCAACTCGATCACGGAGTTGATGAAAACTCGAGAGTCCCCGGTCAGGAAGTCCCAGGTGAGCAAAGCCTCTGCATCATCTCCAACTTCTCTAAGCGCTTCCTTTCATCGTTTTCCTGGCCCAAATAATATCACAATGTGCAACCAGGTCTTCCAAACACAGATGAGGCCACATAATATGGTCGAGTCAGGCTGCTTGCTCAATCAATCTGCGCCTCTTTCTTCTTCACCTCTCCTTCTACTCGCGCTTCCTCATTATTCTGCATCTCAGCCAAGCGCTTCGCCTCGCACAGAACTCGGAGGGACTTATGAGAAGACCAGGTTGGAGACGAGTGTCAAAACCATGAGATTGTACCTTGGTGCCGATGTCCAAACGATCTCACTGTGGGTGTGTTGAAATTGGGCGACCAGCCAGTTGGACCTTTAACTCAAACCCAATGGTTGGCCTCTGCTTCAAAACGCACAAATGTTGGCTCTGAACAAGCCTGCACCTTACTGCCCAACTAACATCTTGCGCCTGCGCGTCGATCATCGCATTCCGGGCTGCCTGTACGTTGAAGGGGTCTCGCCCGCAGGAAGTGTTCTTGATCCCCGGTGATAATAGAAGAGGTGTACTGCATATTATGTACATAGTAAACGCTCGAAAAGGTGTTCCTCTTGTTTCCCTTTATCCTTCAGGACCTGTCTTGTTGTTCCCTTTATCCTTTTTGCATGAAGAGAACATGTTGCACTCTACCCTTTGCCTGCTTGGACTGGAAGACTTCCTCCTCTTTCTGCTTGCGCAGCTGCAACATCTTCTCCTTTCGGTTGGCGTAGTCCTGCAGCGGTCAAGAACGTTTGATGCAGGGATCAGGCAAACTTCAAAGTTAATCTGTTTCTGGTTTCTGTTTTAATGAAGCGGAAGTGCTGCGTTTTGGCTTGGGGGCCATGTTGCCAAACCTCTTCCGCGACGCTATGTTTCTAAGGAGTGATCATGTGTTCAGGTCATAACGGATGCAAGCAAACGGTCGGATCGATCATTACAGACCTGTCGCCGCTTGGCTACATACGTGCGCAGTATTAAAGTCAACCTGCGTCACATGGAGAGCAATTCACAAATGGAAATGGAAAAATTCACAGCATCCGCAAAGCTTCTGAACGGAAATTCTGTGGTGTAAACCACAGCGCAGTTAGCTACTAGTAACAAGTGCCACGCTAGTAGTAACAAGTGCATCGCTACTAGTAACAAGAAGCTACTAGGAACAGGTGTTGCAAATGTTCGGCTCCACGGGCTCCCGCAGTGGAGCTTTGTCCATGACTTCGGAGGCTTGAGCAAGCTTCCCCGAGTGCAATCTTGGCTGCGGCCAAGCTAGGGTTGACAAGTTTGGTCGATATGTTTGTGAGAAGTTTTTGACCTATCTGGAAGTTAGCAGCAACTCAGGATACTGCGGCAATATCGACATATTCCCAGAATGAATGCGGCTGTTCGGCATCTTGATCGGCCAGTTCCGAGGGTGCGAGAGAATATGAGAGACCTTTCCCTTGTGCACCGCGCTGCACAGAGTCCTGAATCTTCTGCTCTTCTTGCTGCTGCCGCAGCATGTCCTCTGCCTGTTCATGATGAAGCTACTGGTGTCTAAGAGGCGTTGCAAACCTTTTGAAAATGCATGCTGTCAAGATCAGGGCTTGAGTGCCTTGATCTGCTTCAAGTACTCGTTGGCTTTTTGTGTCTCCTTTTGTGCCTGTCAAATATACTTTCAAGCAATCTTCTCACCGACTGACATGGTCTCCTTGTCAGTTCGACAAAGAGATCTCAATCTGGGGTACTGGGTGCTCTGCGAATGCTATACCAACTAGGCTTGACTGCAAAAGACCGTTGATGACAATTGACCCATGCTTGGCAAATAGTATCAGTATCAGAATCAAAATCACAAGTAGTGTATCGGCAAGTAAGTGGACTGTGCAGATTGCTTCAGTAGCAGCATAAAATAACTCAAATCAATGTAAACTCGACTCGCGCATGCGCGACCTGTCAAGCAGCCACCGAATGAAGCCTTCGGCCGATGGCAACGGTCGCCCACCTTGACCGCCATGTCGCGCCGCTTCCTCTCTGCTCCTCTCTCAGCCTCCAAATCCTCGGGAGAAGAAGCGAGAGGTACCTTGTACGAGAACGATACAACCAAAGAACCTCAGAGGTTACAGTGGTTCGGATTCAAGATTCCACGTCGCGAAAAACCATTTGCAAATTCAAGAATCACCCAAAAGGATCCAAAAGGCAGCACCAAATCGACAAGCACGTCCAAGACGAAACATTAAATGCCGGGCTTCGGCCTTGTTAGGCCTTGTTAGAGGGTATTTTAAAGGATATTAATCTCTTCAATCTTTTCAACCTCCCCTTCTTCCAAGAACAAAATATTCCAAACCGGAAACAGTGCTCCACACATCTGCCCACCTCAATGGCTTTCCGCCTCAGCAGCTCTCCCTCGAGCATAGCGTCTTCCACCTGCCGGCACATGGTCTCCTTGTCACAAAACACATAAGACTTCACCTGCGAACACCAAGTGGTGTTTTTCAGGGCCAGGCGGTCACAAATCCACCACAGTTGAAAGCGCTCGCTGCGGTTTTGTTTTTTGTAAAGGCGCAACTGCTCAAGAACCAATTCACTTTGGCGTTTACTGTGTTGTTTGTTCATCTGCCAAAGGAAGCCAAGAATGGTTTCCTAGTGTCGACCTGGGTTAGTTCAGCGCACGTCTCGGGGTCTATCTTCCGTGTCCATGAAGAGACAGTGTACATCCATGTATCTGTACATCCTGAACAATATTAGTCTGCAAACTTCTGGTGGTTTTGACAACTTATGGGAGGAACCAATTTCACAGCGATTTGGGAGGTATCTGTGTCAATTCTTTGGTGTGAGAAACAAGGAGTGTTTTGTAGCCAGCTAGCTACGTAGCTGTGTGGTTATATACTGTAAGTCCAACGAACCGTCGTTGCTCAGTGTCTGGGATGTTGACGGGTCCCCATGTAGCGGTACAGGCCAGCTTTGTGGCCCTGGTCAGACTTCCTTATCTATTGCTGCTGTGTTGTGCACCTGGATTAGTGCCAGCACGGTATCGTTATGTCATTGCGGATGCGACCAATGCAACCAGCACTTCCCTGAAGATATACATATTTGTTGCCTTTACTCCTCTTCTTTCTCCATGGCACCTCCTGGAAACGCTTCTCCTTGTACTCGGCTAACTGCTCCTCCGAAGAGACTCGTCGAGAAGATCGCTTCGGGTCGCGGCTGCAACCCTTCGGACTCTGGAGTCCAACCCCTCAGTCAATGGGACAACTCCAACCCCTCAGTCTGCAAAGATTTCATGAGAACATGCTGCGGAGAAGAAGACACGTCCTTTTGAGCCCTTGCTGCAATCTTGGAAAGCTCCTCCTTTGTTTCCTTCTCCTGTAGGATTCAGTGTGGTTTGCTGACTCAAGCCGCTGGTGGGACGGATTCGCCGATGCAAAGGAATACGCAGTTGTAGCTGTTTGTACGTTGTCTCCTCCCTGCCCTCGGACCAAAACACTCATGACTCCAAACTGTGGGAGGTTGCAATGTCTTGCCAAAGGAAGCTCTGACAAGGAGGAGCTGAAGCGAATGAGATATTGTTCAAAATGCTGGGGTTTGAATTCCATTGTGTTTTGCAAAGTAGGTGCCTGTCTTTGGCCCTGTTTTTGCCCGTCTCAGCACCAAGAAGTGAGAACTGCAAGCAAAGCCTTCAGAAGCAATCTGTCTTGAAGCTAGCTTGTTGTTTCTCTGTTTCAGCCATGAGCTCCTTCATTTCTCGCTCAAGCATCTTTCTATAATTCCTGAGAAGCACAGCTTGGCTCAGCTTGAAGCTTCTTCTGGAACAGTCGCACAACACAAACGCCTACTTCTGTCTCCATCAGCCGAGCATCTGTTTTTCCATCTCCAAGAAGCGGTCTTCCCTGATCTGTTCTAGCCTTGGTGTGTGACCAGCAATGATGAAATCCACAAAGGGTTTGTTTGCAACAAAGGTAAAATAACAGCAGTAAGCCACGTGCTTCTTGAGCTCTCCCCTCAAAGACATCTGCGCCTGGTGTGCAAAGTAAAGTAGCGAATATGTTGCTCTGAGCACAACAGTGATCTAGCAGCACACCTTGTTGTTCTCTTGTGTCTCTTTGACAACCGTTATGTCTTGCCTCTCGTTCGGCGATGACGTCACAAAGCATCATTTTGCTGTGGAAGGACTTCATGCGATCTGACCTCGGAAAGATAGGCTTCTGTCAGATCTGTCAGCCGACATAAATATATATACATATCACTAACTATCTATATATATATATGTAGCTATATACATAGTTGGAAACAAATGTGCTAACCCCTTGTCATCAGCACCGAGGCTTCTCTGCTTGGGCGCATATGCAACAACATGTAGCAGATTGTGGCTTGCGCGCTGCCAGAAGCATTCCGTTTGCAAAGCAAGATTGAGAAGCTTGCTCTTCGTAGAGCAGCTTGTTGGCACCTAAGGCGGTGCTCGGGGATTTGGCACATCGCACTCCCAAACAAACAAATGAGCTGCCGTCACAACCTATCGATGACATTTATCCATAATGAGATTCCCTGATTACGTTCATTGATATTTGCCTCTGGCGACACATGTCATGCCTACCTTCTATTCGTTTATATCCAGGAACATCATGGTACATCGAGATATCTAAATATATATATATATACATAGCGGTACTGTGCGGCACTGCAACCAAAATAAGGTATATCAGAAAAACCACAGACATGGCTTCGCAGCGCTTCAATCAGGCGCGTGTTACAGTGTTGTTCCCAATCCACTGCCTTTAAAATCCAAGAGGCGGTCGATGGTTTCTCGCCGTTGGTCCAGTTGGATCTTGGCCTCTTCCGCATCAACCATGGACGAGCTCCAAACTCAAACAAGGATCGCATCAACTGGCCTGAACCAAACATGTGATTGGAAGAATGTAACAAAAAGAAATTGTCCTTCCGGAGGCTTGAAAAACGTTTGCCGAAGAAGAGAACCGGATAACAGTAAGATCAAGTGCTTCAAACACCGTGTTTAACCCACCCAGCCTTCTGCCGCTCAAGCTCTTCCAACTCCAATTTTTTCCTGCAAAGCATGGCCGCGTCATTGGGCCCATTTTGGACAAAGGAAGTTCCCACAGTTTCGCCTCTTCTCTTCGGCTTTCTTCCTTCGGCTCCCTTCGAGAGTATTGCTCCAGGTCTTGGCACGAGCCTGCGAAGAGCAACAAAAACACACAGAAAAAAAGGCAAAATATTATGGGATGACGCTTCCTGTGAGTCGAGGAATCAACAAAAACTGCCCGACCGAAGTTGCACCTGGGACTTCTCGTGGAGCAATTGTGCACGCGTCTTTGTCCTGCCAACTGCGACACATGTCTGCAAATTGGGATTTTTTAGTGATCTTTAGTGCAAGGGAATGCATTTACTGCGAAACCAATTGAGCAACTTGAGCGGCATACACGCGAAAACATAAAGAGAGGGAGGACAGTAGATACAGCATG